ATTTCAGGGCAGCAGGCACCGATCTTGCCGGCGCCACCGTTGGGGTCGGCATCAGAGGGGTTCCAGCCCTCGACGTTGGCCTTGCCGTTGATGAACTTGATGTCGTGAGGGCACTGGGAGTCGCAGTATCCAGTTCCGTACTTGGCACCAGCCTTGTTGTTGCCCTTGCCGATGCCACCGTCGGCGGCCATCTCGACAAAGTAGAGGGCACCGTTCAGACCGCAAGGAAGCTTGGAGACATCGACGTCAAAGGTGAACTCCTTGTTGATGAGGTTGAACATCTGGTACTTGGTGTCCGTCTCCATGAGGTAGGTACGCGAACCAATGTTGCTGGAGAAGGAGCCCTTGGTGACGAACTTGAGGGAGAGAGCGTTGTTGCTGGTAGTGATACCATAAGTGCCTGGATATGTTAGAACAAACTTCCCTCCTTTTTCCACTCAGTCGAGCAAACTTACCAGAGTAGTCAGCACCGTCGATAGCGCAGTTCTTGGTGCAAGAGTCACCATCGGGGCAGTACTGGGTGCTCCAGGAGTTGCCAGTGTAGCAGTTGGTGTATCCGCCAACATTGTGGGCCCATCGCCAGTTGGAGTCGAGCACAACGGAACCAGACTTGTTGGAGCAGTTGGTACCACCGGTACCCGTGCAGGTTTGCCAGGTCAGCTTGGGGTGGTTCTCAGCAGTGCTGGTGCCAACCTGCTGAGCGCGGGCGGCTCCGTAGAGCGAAAGAGAGGCGAAAGCAAGTGTCCTGTACATGTTGACTGGCTTGAGTAAAGAGTCTGCTGCTGGATATCGAACTTTTCTGCTTGTTGGGGACTCCCCCTTTTATATCAGAAAAAAATATCTCCTGCTCTTGAGTACTATCGGTGGTACTTTGGAAAAAGTACCTACGTGACCTCCTTGGGCGTTGCACGCTGCAGGAGATCTGCATACCAAGGCTCTCCTGCAGAGCGTTCTCACCAATACCACAAGTAAAGCGGGACGTCGGGAGTGTAGAACGTTGCTAGAAGTGCCAAACTAATGAAGAGTAGATGAAGCATCCTTGGCTGCTTCTTGCCCGTGGGGTATTCCGGGGTACTGTGGAGATCTCTACGCCACAGGAACCAGTGCCTTGCCTTAAGCAGATAGTGGATGGGTGGGGAATAATACGAAGCTTCAGAGCACTATGCACTATGACTAGCCAATATCATTGGCAATATAATGTCTTAGCCTTGGATGCTATTCGACAGCAAACAACTAGCCTCATATGTGTGGAGGCAAAGGTGTGGATCGGCGTCGGCACCTCCATCATTGTCTTCGCCCATATACATTGCCGCTGTGTCACGCGTTGTTCTATGGATAAAAACGGGGCATGTTTGTATATTGTCACAACTGCATGTGGTTTCTGAATGTCAATCACAGTGTAAGATCTCTCGTGTAGGAGATCTCTTCACCACTACTGTAGCGCCCGGTATCCGGTTTAGTGGTCTTGAAACCTGGTTAAGATATATTGCATGGCCAACAACATGTGAGCACATATGAGCATGTCTTCTAGAAAAGAGGTGGTCGGCCCGATTTGGGAGGTTAATCTACGGTACAGTACTGTCAAGGTCATGAGGCTTACCTGCTTATACGGGTATCGGTATTGACCAAAAGAGCAAGGTTTCTTCAGTGGCTCGCTTCGCTCGTAGCGGCGAAAGCATGGTACGATGGCAAAGAGTGGTGTTTGGACGCAACGAAGATTCTCTACAGGGAACGCAGAGCTAACTTGATAAACCTTGTCCAAGAAATCTATCAATACGCATGTATGCTCCGTGAATCTCCTGACATGCCCACAGTAAAGAACACCACCTGGCAGCGAAGCCAAGGTGGATACTGAGAGAACCAGGTCAAATGACCTTTGACTGTGGGTTTCAGGAACACGTTAGGAGGAGCGTGTAGCCAAGTTGAAAATGTTCCGGGATAAACGGGACGAGACTCCTCTAAAAAAAATTGGCTGTGCCCTGTTCAAAGCTTCGTACGAGTGGTCCGAGTCTTCACAAGAAGGCATCGACCCGAACCCTCGGTTAGTCTTCTGTGCTAGATAGATTGGTGTCCAGGGATGTTGGCTCGCCAAGACCGGGGGTTCGCTTCGAATTTGTCCGCTTCGTCGGCCTTTGACGTATGAACTGGCGAGGTACCGATCCAGAAACAGTTGATACGGTTAGTCCAGAGTTGAGCCCCTCAATATTTGCCGTGTTATACGACGAGGTTGCGGACAGTTGAAAGTTAAAATCTTACCCTGTGGACCCGGTGTTCAGTTCAGCCTAATCAATCAACAACGGGCCAATCTAAGTTCCAACCACTCAAGACCAACTGTATGCCTGCACTTTGACGATCAGCAGTGTACAGCAACGTGATTCCCGGCGGGCGGCAATTATTCCTGGGCCGGCGCGCAAGGTTTCTTATGTGCAAAACATTGCAGCCGGGTGCAAACCGCTGAGCCGCAATCATTAGTACACGACCAACGAATAGGTCGATGAGCTGTTTGATTAAATAATGCGCTCAAAAGTCTTCTGGTAGAGGTATCAAGCAGTCACCGATTGCATGCCGTATCTCTCAAAGATTATAGTATCTGATACAATATCAGCAGAATACCCTATCTGTTAGTTCCCTTGCCAGACACTGTCAGTCGGACAGTGGCGCACAAGTTCATCTGAGAAAAGATTGCAGCGCTTTTGCCAAAAAGGGTGAAATAGAATTTGAAATGAGCCCACATGTAGGAAGGTGGTAGGTACGAATAAGACTGCGAGATAAGACAGGTACTCAGGAAGGAGATCAGATTCTACTCGCCTAAAGGACAGGCCTGGTTTCTGCTCTTGCAATTTTGCGATGCTCTCGTGACAGGAACACCATCAGTGGCCCGCTTTGTGCCTATTTCTTGTAATGAATTCCTTCTGTCTTAATGCTCTCCGCATCCCCTTGGTACCTTTCGGGAGCGGAGACATGATCCTTTCCCTGTGTGGCAGGTCTCACTGCGCCCTTCTCGATAACTTGCTCAATTGTAGCGAAGCTGCCTCTACGATAGACGACTACAGTTGAGATCCTGTAGAAGGCCTATCATTGAGCTGTACTTGTGAGACGACAAGTCGTATTCCTGCTCAAAAAATGGTGGATTCTTCCGTTCTTCAATCACCACCACCAGCCTTGACCTCGAAAGCCCCGGCTTAACAACAGTATGGTTATCGAGGTCCGTTGGCTTCCAACTCAACAGGGTGTTGTGAGCTTGACAATTCAACAGGATGTCGTGCGCTTGACAGCTCGACCAGTTGTCCTTCTGTATCCTTTTCATGGTATTGCTGCAAATGCGAGTAACTATTGCTCTCTCCGTCCAATTCGACAACAGACTCGCCCATCTGTCTGGCTCTTCCGCTGTTTTTCCACAAGTAAATTGCTACCACCAGGAGTGCAATTCCAATGACCGGCCCAATAACGGCGCCTGCTATCCATGTCTTGTTTTGTCGTTCAGGTTCAGGTCCAGATCGAAGTTCAGATTCAGGATTAGGGGTAGCTTGCATCACATCCAGCCTACTGGTAGACACGTCGATTGATGGTGATGCTGATACTACTAGGGTCGGTGTTGGCACGACTTCTGTTGAGGTCACACTCAGAGGCGGGGGTGGTGCTGAGGATGTAAGGGTACTCAATGATGTTGTCGTCGCTGGCAATTCCTGGTAGATGGTATAAGCTTTCCAGTTCATACGGCAGCCGTAGTTAACCGCAGATGGGAGTCCAGCTGGAGAGGTCGCATAGATCGTGGCCTGAACGCATGACACTTCTCCGGTGCTGATATGTGTTAGTATGAGTGAACATATCGAAGGCCATGGTAGTGCTCACCAGGGCCACACGGAACCATCATCGAGATACAACTTGTTATCTGAACATTTTGTCGCTAATGCACAGCGACCACTGGTGTTGCAGTCACCTGCATAGGTCCCAGAGGTGATCCAAGCATCACCTGCCAACAGTGGCTCGACTGGAACAAGTTGAGTTATGCGCATCCAACGCGAAGACGCGAACGAGACGTACTAGAATCAAGACCGATGTAGTAACCAATGAATCGTGAGTTCCATTTCGAAGTTACTTGGCAGCTTGCGCAAATCACCAAGAAAGAAAGAATGGCTAGTGTATGTTGGACAGTGGACAGCATTATTGTGCGAGGGCGCGATGGGAGGCTCCGCGGCCTCAAAAGGAGAGCAATTGAGGCGGGCACCAAAACAACGCAGATGCCCGCCCAAACGCTTTCTTGTCTGCATTGTGCGGGCCTGACAATCCTATGGAAGGATCCCCAAGTTGGGGGCCAAAAGGCCCCATCTAGGCTAGGATGCCTGAATTTCCGTTCCCTTGGCCGTCTAGAAATTTGCAACGGGTTAGGTGGTAGCTGTATTGGAACAAGCTTGTTAGCCGTCAGCCCCCCTTCTAGTTTCAAAAAAGCTGTTAATATCCGAAGCTCAAAGATACAGATAAGCTAACACAAGTCATTGTGTTTTTGATACTACTGTGGCTGTTTCGGTATGACAAGCAGTGAAGCACCACAGAGTCTAGCCCAATGCTGGTGAACAGTCTGTATGGAGCGAAGAACAAATATCCTTTAGGAACTAAATGAACAGCGGCCCGCCACATAAAGAATTCGATTCAGTATTAGATCTCTTTCCTTGGCGTGACGTTATCTGTCTCCATATCGCATCTACATCCTAGGAAATCCATTGGTTTGCATTCCTCTTCAACAACATCACCTGACATAGCCATTCAGTGTGGCTGATAAAAACAAATATAATTGCTCACCCATGGGCGATAACAGGTACCCTCTGCAAAGTCTATAGAGCCCTTGGACCAGCCAGATCCATACTCACAAAAGAAAAGCCCCTCTCCATCCTCGCTGGCGTATGTACAGTTTGGTTCGTGCTACTGTAGAATCTCGCCTCTTTATCGGTGTGTTCCACACGTAGTTCATCCGCTAGTCGCCCATTGGCATTCGGTGCTCTCTATTCCTTCTTGATGGTATCCGGGTCTGAGAGGATACCCTCGGCTTCAAGTCTTCGTCGTGCCTCCTCTAGGGCCCAGGTTTGGATGCTATACTACTGTTAGCTGCTGCTCAGGTTTGTGCTATTTTCCTCCCGCTTCCGTTTCCCCTTGGTGCTTTCCATGGCTCATATGACTCGCCGTTCCCATTCATTTTGCCACAGCTCTGCGCTACCCGCCAACCCACAATCGTGAGATTAGACATACCTGGTATCAGGCTTGAAAGCATAAGCGACAACTCCAAACGCACATGCACCTCCGAAACCCCAGTACATGGCATTTTCCCACCCCTCCTTCTCATACGCTTCGCCGGGCTTAACACCGAACAGCCATCCTGATGGAGGGTCGTAACTAGGCCCATGACCGGACTGCTTTGCTTGTGATCGCGAGAAGGCACGGGTGGCGGTACGTGGGGTGGCGGAAAGGGTAGAGGCGATGGCGCGGGAGCCGCTGGTTGCGGCGCGGATCGAGTTCATGATTGTTTTTTCGATGTTATACAACCAGCTTGAAAGGGCGAGTCAATTGTGACAAAAGGTATCCCAGCGTGGGATGAGGTGGTCGTGAAGCTGAAGGGGCGTTGGCGGTGCGTCGTCAGGTATGAGGTTCGGCGTTGGTTGCGAGAGCTTGGCTTGGCAACGGAAAGCTAGCCCTACCCGAGACGTCAGACCGCCCGATGCATCTACACTACACATTACGCCGTCTTGACTCACACAACGGCTATCTACATGCAGTTAAAGTATATGCTTTCCAAGTTCCAAGAGCAGCTATTAATCTAAAGCTATGGACAAACATGAGTACGATGCACGAAGTGTTCCTCAAATGCAAGAGGATCATATCTCTGTATATGTATGTGAGATCTAGTAGGAGCTTATAATCCATCAACGCCAGTGCCATGCCCCCAAGAGAACGCCTCATAGATTAAATAACAGATCATGCGTGTACAGGGACATGACTCTCCTCGAAATCCTCCGTTTCGTCGTGTCGCTGCTGGAATGACATATTTGCCATACCTTGGGAAGCTTCATTGACCTGCTCTTCCGTCCTTTCATCTTCGCTCTTGGCTGCAATGCGATCCATCCTCTCTTTGCGTCTCATCTCAGCCTCTTCTAGCTCCGCAAGCTTTGCAGCCGTCTTTTCTGCTTCTTCCTTCTCACGCTTCTCGCGATCTGCTTTTTCGAGGGCTTCAAACTCGTCGTCAATCTTACCCTCATCAAGAGGCTGACCAGTCTCGCTGAGGATGTTGGTGATTTCTTCTGTAGTGGCCATCTGCTCATTGACAGCATCCACTACTCCTTGAACACCCTCGGCGCCGCCAACCTTTTCGTTCAAGCCCTTGAGTGCCGCTGCACCAGCACGCATAGCTTCCACTATCTCGACTTGGTCTGCGGCTTGCTGAAGGTCTGTGTATACTTGCTCAAGTTGGAGAGCAACGTCGGAGCGTTGAGCGAGGGCACTCTCTGCAAGCTTCTTGGAGCGGAGTGCTGCCTTGGCACGAACCATCTGCTTCAAGGCTACGGCCTCGCGAGCTGCAGCATCCGCAGCGGCGATTTTCTCCATTAATGGCGGGATCTGCGCATTGATCTTTGCTACCGTATCGCGAAGATTGGCGATAGCGGCATCCTCCTCTGTGATGGGTAGAGGTACATGCTCGTGTTCTGGCTTGAATTTGATCGTCTGCGCGTTGTATGATATTGCCTGCTTATCGCGAGCTAGAAAAGCCAGTATGATGTTCAGGTCGTTTGTCGTGAGCGACGCAGAGGGGTTGAGCACGGTCGAGAAGCGCTTGAGAAAGTCGGCCCTTGATAGTACGCGGTCGGCTGTCGATGTATAATCCTTCATTTTGCTGAGTATCTCATCCGCAGCGACCTCGACATTCTTCAGAATGACAAAGTTTCCAACCTCCATCTTGGCCGGTGCTTGCGGTTCGCCAAGTACCCCGACCTGCCGCAAGCTCCATTGTAACACCCTCCAGGGCGATGGAATCCACGACGTCTTGTATATGCTCTCCTTGGAACTGAGAAAATCTTTGAGAGGTATCATCTCCTTCTTCTGAACGGCCTCATGGAACACGGCGGGTAAGCATGTCGGCTTCCCATATTGTGGATGTTGGAGCGCTCGCGCAAGCTCGTCAGCTGCCCGGATGTTCAGAAGATCGTGTGTGGTGCCCTGTGTGGGAATGACACCCGCTCGCGCAGCATCAGTGAGCGCCTTGGTCCATGCTGCGATATTCGCATGGTAGCCTTCGGGGTTGATATCGAGTTGCTGGCGGAAGTCGGCATACAACGATGCGAGGCGATGCTGGCTGGGACAATCAGGCAATGCAGGGCGAGCGCCAGTCGAAGCTGGACTTACTTCTTGAAGGCTTCTTCGTGCTGCAGTATGAATTCAAGCAGCTCACTCATGTCGCGCTCTGCTTTGGGTGTCCACTGCGGTTTGGTGTGCTTGGGGCGAAAGAGGGTACGCTTCCGCTTGTGACGTCCAAGCGTGGGGTCGTTGCTAAAGATGGAGACGTGGGGGCCGGAGAGGTCGCCAGAGGCCTTGCGTTTAAGCATGTGCGCGTCGGGGGATCCACGGTACCTAGCAAAGTGCCTATCCAAGCTGACGACAAGATCCAATACGGTCTAGCGTAAGAGATGATTATTCGTGTGCTACATCGGTACACAAACTATACATGCTAGGCTGATGTGTACTGTAAGGAGTGCGGGGGCGCGTGCAGCCGCTCACCGATGCGACGCGTTGTTCCAAGGCTATGTGCCCCGCTAATCATGCCCGTCTACGGCAATCAACATGGCTGAAACAATTGGCCTTGGACCAGAGAAGAGCTTGTAATCGAGCCATGTCTTGGGGGTGTATGAAAAGAATTTCAGGGCCCAAGTACAGCTTGCTACGAGTTGTTGGCATCGCCCTTCGAGTAGCGATATCTTATACTATCACGCATCGTACGCCTAGACCTCTTGATTCCTATTTGCGGGAGACCATTTGTGCATGGCTTTATGTATTATTGATTGTACTATAGACGCCGATTCCATCGCCCATCCAAGTGCTTTCCGTCTCTCAAACTCTTATATTCCCCTGAGTTAAAAACTTATTCGCACGAACAGTTTAGATGAAACCTGTGCCATGATTAGGCCATTAAAGTTGTGCAAAGGTTCCAGAGAAGACGTAAACATAGAGCCACGAATAGATCATAGCATCTCTCAATCAACAACTCCGGACAAGGCGTAATGTCCATCACTTTCTGACAATGTTGATGCCACTGCCCTTGTTCTTTTCCATGAACTGCCGCATCTCCTCCAAATCGTCCATGTCGTCGTCGCTATCTCCGCCCTTGGGTTCATTCGACGGTTTCGTTTTTGGCGGCGCTTGTGGAGCGTGTTGGGGTGGAGGGTCTCGCATCTCTTTGGTCTCTTCCTCCCATGCCTTCCTCTCCTCCTCGTCCAACTCGTCTCGCCTGTCCAGCCACCTCTCTTGCACGTCGCGAGCGTCTATGGTTGCCCCATTTTCACGCATAGCCATCTGCCAAACAGTATCATTTGCGCCCTCGATACCGCCCATTGCAAAACCTCCCGCTCGATCAATGGCCCGCAGGAGTGTCATCATACTCTTCTTGTCCTCGACTGCCAGTGTCTCAAAGCCCACAAGTGCAAATTCCTCAACGAGTTCCACAATCGCCTTGTTAAGCGCAGAAAACTTTGAAGTCGGTTCGTCATCATCCATGTCCATGGTTTCGTTTGCGCCAGCTGTTGTAGGACCTGGTATGCCGGACGTCTGCTCGCGGTTTAGGTGCGGTAGTAGGTATTGTAGGTCTTGGACTTCTGTGTAGAAATCAAGGTTGAAGGGTAGGTTGGGATAGTTGCGCAAGTTGTCGATCTTGGTCAGAACGTTCAGGTGGGGAAGGTCCATCTGCAGCATGCTGCGCAACGCGAGGAGTAAAGACGAGACATACAGCGATGGTCGGGAAAGGACTATCGAATCCGTCAAGTGTACGACGACGAGCTGTGAGAGGTTAGCGCTCAGTTGCGCGCCATGGGTGGTGGGCGAATACTCGATACCCGAGTTTTTGTAGCCGGAAGAAGATGTTCCGCAGAGATCCGTGATGTGTGAACAGCTCGACCTGTCCTGGACAATCGAACAAAATGTAATCATCTGCATCGCGTAAGTATCCTTTCACCAAGCCTGACTACATGGATGCGGACCTCCGAGTTCCTTCAAGCCCTCTTCTAGCCAGTCGAAGTTATGCTCCAGCTCCTCCAGGGCAAACAAAACGCCACCATTTGGACCCAGAGACTCTTGTTCCATGATCTCGTCAATGGTAACTAGGTCCCGGACGTCGACGGCTGGCTGGTACGAGGTGTGGTCGTTCGCGGGGTCAAGGTTGACGACTGAGCATTTGCGTTCAATGGCGTCCATGAACTGTTGCATGCCATCACAGTAGGTCGACTTTCCGGAACCTGGCGGGCCTATTACTAGTTGTGCGAACGGCATCTTTGTGGTTGCGAAAGTGATGTCGCTTGCGAAGGTGAAGTGAGAAGGACAGGGCGCCGGGGAACTTTTGGAGGGGCCTTGCTAGCGTGCATCCCAAGTTATTTGTTTAGTTGCGGACCTCCGACCTTGCGGAGCTTCACTCCAGCTCCCATCTCTCCACACTCTCCAGCAGCCAACACCGCCAACATGTCGAGTAAGTGGTCCATGTTTCCCTAGTATTGAAATCCACTGCTACAGCGTCGGCTTTTAATGCGCACTGTCTCCATTAAACCCTATGAATGCGAGCGCCGCAAACTGTCGCACCGTAGTAGTGTTCCCTCGACTATATACTGGAAATTGTACACGCCCTAACATGGATACACAGGTCAATTCGAGCTTGCGCAGAACCCAACTGAACCTATATCCTCCGTCAAATTCGCGACCAACAACCCGACACGATTACTTGTTTCATCCTGGGACCGCCATGTTTACCTCTACGACACTCACGCAGAGCCCGGCGGAAAGCTGCTGCAGAAGTTCGAACACCGTGCGCCAGTATTAGATGTCTGCTTTGGTCGCGATGACAATGAGGCCTTCTCTTGCGGCTTGGACTGGGAAGTGCGAAGGATCGACCTCGAGACGGGCGCGCAAACTATCATGTCTACGCACTCGCAGGGTGTTCGCAACGTACTCTTCTCTGCCGCGCATAACCTATTGATTTCATCGTCATGGGATTCGACACTACATCTGCACGACCTGTCGCAACCAGGCGAGTTCTCCGCTGTCCGCCTGCCCTCGAAGCCTTTCTCGCTTTCCGCGTCACCCACCAAATTGGTAGTTGCCATGGCCAGCAGAGCGGTCAACATCTACGAACTAGAGAAGCTAGCAGCTGCAGCTAAGACGGGTGAAGAAGAGGTGAGCGTAGAGCCGTGGCAGCAGAGGGAAAGCTCGATGAAGTACATGACGCGCGCTGTTTCATGCATGCCAAACGATGCTGGCTATTCGAGTTCGAGCATCGAAGGACGTGTTGCAGTCGAATGGTTTGACCCTTCCGAAGAGTCGCAGTCGCGAAAATACGCATTCAAGTGCCACAGACAACAAGTAGATGGTCAGGATATAGTGTATCCAGTCCACGCGCTAGCATACCACCCAGTCCACGGTACCTTTGCTACAGGAGGGGGTGACGGCATAGTGGCGCTTTGGGATGCCGTAGCAAAGAGGAGGATACGGCAGTACCAGAAATTCCCTGCCAGCGTTCAGACTATTGATTTCTCAAACGATGGCAAACATGTGGCCATTGGAGTAAGTCCGGGATTTGAGGATGGCATAGATGATGTACCAGACGGTGTCACCAAGGTATTCATCCGAGAGCTAAGTGCGACGGAGGCTTCAGGCAAAAAGAAATAGACATGTTATGGGATGTTGCAGAAACACTTAGAGGAGCTCCGGGCAGTGATAATTATACCAAATGATGATGAGAACTGTAACTTGTTTCTTTTCCTGATTTTAGAGTCTCACTGATACATAAAGTTGGCCTCGTGGTGTGATACTTGTGATATGAGTGGTTTAACACGTGAAAACAGCCTTTGAGAGCAGGAACATCGGCAAGTGACTTGCTTGGACTCTTGGCTCTTGACTTCTCATGCGTTCAGGCGCCCTTTGTGAGTCAGCCGTTAGGCTTCCAGCATTCTACGCCACAACCACAGGTATCAGCCTCCAGTCCACTACTCTTTTATCAATGTTATCATTGCCTATATCAACCATGAAAAAGTACATTTTGTCAGGAAAGTAGCTACAAAACTTCAATCATGGGATCTAAAGTCTTATCTCTTGATTCAAGACACCTTTCCTTTTTGCATATTTTCCATCATCCGTGCATTCGAATCTCTTGTCCTGCCACATGTGCTCTTCTCTTTTTGCTTCTCGTTTTTTTTTGCAAAAGCTATCTGTAAGACCAGATTCCGTATTTATCCCATAGCACGCTTAAGTACCTGTATGTACATGCCCTTTCGTTCACACATGACCGTGTTGTATTCTAGTATATGGTCAAGTGGTGTCTGGTAGGCTATTATGATTCTTTTATGATCATTTTGATTTCTGTTACTTACGATACATCGTCAGCATCGTATATAAATGCCCAATATGCTCGGGTCTTCCACAGGCAAGGGTGAGAGGTGCAGATGACGTCTGGCGCTAGTAGGCTTATCGATAGTCCCTCCACATTTTCCTACATGTCGCGACTCACCCTTCAAAATCACCAAGATGGCTTTCCGCAAGCGCAATGTAGCGCTTTCACGCGCACCAGCTGGGGAGGACGCGTCAAATCTACTATCTGCTCCTTCTGTAACCCCGCCAGCACCAACACCACCAGGTGTCCGTCCTTCACCCATTGATGGCCGCCCCACTACTTCAACTGGTACACCCTCGCTTGATGGTATATTAGCAGGGCATGCTGGCCTGGCACTGGGGCATTCTATATTGATAGGGGAGAGCGGAACAACGGACTATGCAGGCGCATTGCTGCGGTTTTATGCGGCTGAGGGGGTGGTCCAGGGCCACAAGGTACATGTGGTTGGCATGGGCGAGGTATGGGGGAGAGAGTTGCCCGGCATATCAGATGGCACATCAGACAAGAGGAGAGAGGGCAAAGAAAGAGCAGAAAAGATGAAGATAGCGTGGAGATATGAGGGACTGGGACAGTTCGAGACTGCGAGAGGTGCGTCTTGTACATTTAGTCTGAATTCGATGTCGCTTCTTGAACAACTCTGACAGGTTATGTGACAGGGTCTCCAGGCGTACAGAGGACCGCAGTGCAAGGTGATAGTACGACGGAAGAACAGGCTGTATTCTGTCATACCTTCGACCTTGCAAAACGGCTCACCCTCCCGGTAGGAACGGCCATTAATTATGTGCCCATACCTTCACCAACGGGTGCTACCGTATCGCCATTTCCTTCAATATTGCAAAATATAAGGCAACAGCTCGCCTCGACTCCGCCCCATATAATCCACCGGATTTTGATACCGTCTCTTCTCTCGCCGGCTCTATATCCTTCGTCAGCTGCACATCCAACATCCATACTCCAGTTCCTTCATGCTTTACGAGCGCTACTGCGACAGTATTCTACGCGCCTGACCGCAATTATAACGCTGCCATTGACTCTGTACCCCCGGTCCTCTGGCCTCGTCCGCTGGATGGAAATCCTCTCAGACGGTGTCTTTGAGCTGTCACCATTCCCGTACTCGCGGATGCAAGCGCTCGCTCAATCAGCGGGTACTACCAAGGATGAAGAGCGTCCACAAGGAATGTTTGCAGTACATAAACTGCCTGTTTTCCACGAGAAAGGCGGTGGCGGAAGTGTGGAGGATTTGGGTGAGGACATGGCATTTACGTTGAGCCGACGGAAGTTTGTCGTTGCAAAATTCAGCCTGCCACCGATGGAGGGAGACACTGAGGCGCAGGAGGAAGCTGTAAGGGAAGCGGCTGGTGGTAGTGTGATGCCGAAGAAGCAAGACTTGGAGTTCTAGAACGTGTAATTCGTCTGATGCGTAAGATACCCTGCAAAGCACCGAGATGGTGAGCATGGCGCAAACTCCATCAACTCAAACACTCTCTCCTTCATTCTGAGTCGCTGTCATCTCCCAGCATGTCTTCCATTTCGATTTGTTCCCATCCTCCACTGCCAGCCCCAGACCCGAATCCTCGTGTATAGTTGCGACCGAAGGACGCGTTCCGAGGGTTGAATGTGACGCCAGCGAATCTAGCACGAAAGCCCTCGCCCATGCAGGAAGATGCGGCAAGAAAGGCGAGGAAAAAGAGGAAAGGAATGAAGAATAACAGACTCAAAAGGACTAATACGTTCATTGTAAATTGAGGGTGTTGTCGGTACAATCGGAGGTCCAAGCCTGTGCGGTGCGGGCGTTCGAGACCCTTATGATATAGTGTCGGCGATTGGCGATTGGTCTAACCGATCCCCCTGTGTTCAACGCGCCACCCAGCTCTCTCCTTTCTGCCTTCTCAAGCCTCTCAAATCGAAAAAAAGATGAGCCGCATACTAAAAGCACCGTTGAGTATACTTTTGCTGCTGTCGTGCGCCTTCAATGCCTCAGCGCATGGCAGTAAGGAACATGTGCAAGTCGAAGTACCCCCGGACGCTGATTGGGCGACTCGACACATGGCTGGTATGGGCTCCCTACTACCTTTGTGTGATGAAACACATAATCAGGATTATATCAACTAATAATACAATAGAGGAGCATCATATAGCCGGTTTCGACGCCGAATTCTTCTTCCGTCTGCACGACTATGACAACACTGGTGTCTGGGCAAGCCAGGACATTCGGCGTACCTACGGTCTTGAGGACCCGTCTAGCGCCTCAATATCTGACGCTAAAAAGCAATTGGTTGTTCAAACCATTCTCGATATGTTTGATATAAATAAAGACGGCGTAATTACTCTGGAAGAATTCGCCAAAAAGGACGCCGAAGGCACCAAGCTACCGGACTTTGGTCTAGGCCCAGGACACCACGGCGATGACGAATACGAATATGAAATCCACCACTGGGAGAAGTACCATAGCGGAGACGACGTCAAGGAGGAGGACCTGAATCACCCCGAGGACATTGCGCACTTCAAGATGCACGAGGAGAAGGAGGCTAGACAAGAGGAGTGGGAGAGGCTGGAGCTTAGGGGTGTCGTGGAAAAGAACATTCCTGAAAAGTTCAGACGACATCGGTGATTTACAAAGCGCACATTGGGAGGATGTTTCACGTTGGTGGGCATTTGCAAATACCCAAAGCGTAACGAGATACTTTTGTGAAAGTGGTGATAAGCATCTGGCTATGCTTCTGCATGTGTGGACGATGTAAGAACATGAAGTGACTACGAGCCAAACTATGTAATGGATACTTAATATGGATTGTACCAAACTTGAAAATTTGCATCTGGGTCACCTCTGCAAATGACCTTCACAATAATGAGGTCCGACTTGATTCACTGACTTGGCCCTTTGGTCTTGGCTTATCCATACGATATCTTCAACTTGGTATTCCAAACATGCTCACATCATCCAGGTTCGTCTCTACACCAAAGAAACCAATGCTCTGTGCTGAAGAAGCAGCGTTGTCGTCTCATGGAAGCATCTTCGTACATTTCAAAATATTCAAGACAATAATTGGATTTTCTTATGCAGGTAAATAGGCCTGGTGAAATTGTTATTATAGAAGAGAGGGAAAACCCGCAAGTTTTTCGAAGTGGTCGCTATTAATGATACTAGTAACAGAAAAGAAGAACGAAGGTAGAAAGGGAGTTCTCCGTTAAGAGCACTTGAGTTTAAAGCGGTACAGCTATCTTGTAAGCGTATAGATATGTAAGCAAAATCTAGCGGGGATTGCTTAGAACTCGATGTATAGACTTCCAATTGGAGAATTGCTCTATGCGACACCCAAAACTTGGTGTAGTAATGTTGGAGATACCCTCAATTGTGAAGGGTGAAAGACTCCATTGTCGTTCGGTCAGACATGGGCGATCACATTTTCGCTCAAATAGTCTTATTAGTAGATATTACTCAATGATCAGCACATACGAAAGCACTACAAACAATATCGTGGGTGGAAGATGGTCTTGAAGGTGAACTTACAGTCCCAAAGCAGAATACGCTAGTGTCCAACATGACTAGCTCACTCGCTAGTGTACTTTGCTCTGTTCACCATCAGCCATTCAGATGTCCTCGTCATTCTGAACACCAATTGTCTATTCCACTTTTTAACGTCACGCCAATACACCATGGCTGATGAAGAAGATGTTGAGACCACCTTGATACCCAGTCTTTACAAACCACCTGCCCTGCTGCCAATTGCACAGCTTAGAGATCAGCTGCTCTATACTATAGAAACATATCCCGTGACTATCGTTGTGGGTGAAACAGGAAGCGGTAAGTTAGATCTAGAAGATTCCCAGATTTTATAATTGACAAATATCTAGGAAAAACAACACAAATACCAAAATTCTTGCTTGAGGCAGGTTGGTGCAGCAGCGGTCAGCAGATAGCCATCACACAGCCTCGGCGCATAGCATGTACCAGTGTCGCAGCAAGAGTGGCAGAAGAGTTGGGAACTCCACTTGGCCAGAAAGTCGGATATAGCATTCGGTTTGAAGATGTCACATCAGCAGCCACGCAAATCAAGTTCGTCACAGATGGTCTCCTGCTGCGCGAAATGCTCGTCGACCCTCTGCTTTCACGCTACTCTGTCATCATGGTAGACGAAGCACATGAACGTAGCTTGTCTTCGGATATTCTACTAAGTTTGTTGAAGAAAGTCCTGAGAAAAAGGGACGACTTACGAGTGGTTGTGAGTAGCGCAACATTGGAGGCTGAGCGGTTCCTTGACTTCTTCAGTCCGGATGAAGGGGAGAAAATTCATGGAAAGAGCAAGGAAGAATTTGGCTACATTGTTGGCATTGAGGGACGCACCTACCCGGTCGAAATTCAATATCTGCAAGAACCAACGAACAACTACGTTGAAGCAGCCGTGGACACGGTTGTAAAAATTCACAAACACGAGAATGAGGGCGACATTCTCGTTTTTCTCACCGGAAGAGAGGAAATAGATGATGCAATTGATAAGATTGGAGACCATATTGCCGAGATGTCCTCTTCTCAGCCAAAACTCATACCTCTTCCTCTCTACGCCGGTCTTCCTGCAGAAGACCAAAATCTCATCTTCACCAAGCCGCCGCCAGATACACGAAGAGTAATTTTCAGTACCAACATTGCGGAGGCCTCATTGACCATTGACGGCATTGTATTCGTGGTAGATACAGGCTATGTCAAACTCCGCGCATACAACGCGAACCTAGGAATTGAGAACCTCGCCGTCGTTCCCGTATCAAAGGCCAGCGCAACACAAAGGGCCGGACGTGCCGGACGAACTAGACCGGGCAAATGTTTTAGGTTGTATACAGAAGCCGTGTTTGAGGGATTGGAGGAGGCCACATTTCCTGAGCTCGCCCGTTCAAACCTCGCACCAGTTATTCTCCAACTTCTCAACCTTGGTATCACGAACGTGGTCCGTTTTGACTATCTCTCTCCACCACCATCAGCACTCATCACCCGTGCTCTGGACCTCCTCTATTCCCTCGGCGCCCTCGACACCCATGCCCGTCTGACAAAACCCCTCGGAACGCGGATGGCCGAGCTGCCCCTCGAGCCGATGCTTGCGCGCGCTGTTCTGAAAGCCGCAGAGCCGGAATTTGGATGCCTAAGCGAAATGCTCACAATAGCAGCTATGATGACACTCCAAGGAAACACGTTCGTATCGCATGATGGAGGCAAGAAACAGCTCGATGCAGCGAGACGACGCTTCGCAGTTGAGGAGGGTGACCATCTCACGCTATACAATGTGTATGAGGCTTTTGTGAAAGAAGGCATGGGTAATACGTCATGGTGTCATTCCAACAACCTGAACCACAAAGCACTTGTAAAGGCAGTCAGCGTACGCAAGCAACTGGCGGCTTATCTTGACCGTTTCGGAGTCAAGGAGAACGTGCTCTCATCGTCCGGCGTGCTAAGGGTAGGAGGAATACCAATGGCTGAGCGTGTGAGACGCTGTCTTACATCTGGCTTCTTCGCCCACGCAGCGAGAATGAAGGCAGATGGTAGTTTTACCACTATCGACGGCAAGACGACGCTCTGGGCGCACCCTTCGTCCGTATTCTTCACAAGAAAGGCGGATTGGGTCATCTACACTGAGATACAGTCTACGCGGGACAAGATTTACATCCGGGACCTGAGCAAGGTGAATATGGATTGGCTGACTGAATATGCGCCCGGGTATTACAAGGTCAAGAATGGAGGGAGATAATTATGTTAAACCAGTATATTTTGAAAGCAAAAAATCAAAGAAATAAATTGTAGGGGTATTATCAAAACCGAACCAAAAAGACCGACATGTAGTCCTACAAGTCTAAACGCCGCCGGTAACCCGATGTCATAACCTTCATGTTCCATAATGAAAGTAGCGCTCTATTTGCAAGCCTCTACAAACAATTCTCGCATTCCCTTTAGAAAACCCGCCAGGTCGCGAGTCTCGTTCAATCTCTCGACTACTCTTTCAGTCTCTTCACGCTCTACTTTAGGTCTGACTTCCAGCACCTTGTAGTCGCGCTCGCTAGTATCGAGTTCAAACCAGGCCTCGCGATCCCACTCTCTTTCATCCACATTGGTGTATACAAACTTGAGTCTGTCATCCTTGCCTAGCCCCTCAATCCTGAGCCCCAGATAACTCTCCCAGAAGTCCAGCTCCGGCTCGTTGTAGCGACTCTGGCCATCTAGGTATCGGCGGTGCTTAAGCTGAGCCTCGCGGCGGGCGGAAATGGTCTTTTGGAGTTCGGCGATTTGGGCGCGGAGATTGTCGCGGTGAGCGAGGCGCTCGTCGCGCTGCAGGGTGAGGGCGGAGATGGCTTCTTGCATCTCCGAGGTTTCCTGGGACTCCTTGGCAAGGGTTTGGCTGTGCTGAGCGGTTTTGAGTTCGAGGATTTCAATGTCGCGCTTCTTCATGCGTTGGTCCTCTGCGTAATTGTTAGCACTTGGGAATCGACTCAACACATTTGTTGTAGAAGTCGGGCATGCGCACCATGTAGTTCTGCCACGTTCATGCGGAACTGATTGCGCTCTTCCAGCACTCGCCGGCGGCCATTTTCGATAAATGCGTCAAATCGCGTTGTGAACTGGTTCATGCGACTGCGCAGATCGTCAAAGCCAAAGTTGATAGAGGGCAACTGGTCAGCCATGGACGGCGCATCGTGCGAGGGGGCACGCATGGTCGTGCTGAGAGAGGGCTCAAAAGTCGTCATGGTGGAAGTCGGTGTTACAGATTATTGCTGAATATCTCTTGAAGACTCTCGTCGTATGCCAGTGTATGACGTGGTGGGATAGGATGTAGGAGGATGAATGTGTTTTGGACGGTTGCCGGGTAAACAAGACATCCGCGCTAAAGCCAAGAAAACATCTGCGGGGCGCATGCACGTGCCGACGTGCTCGACGGCGCTAGTACAACTTTTTGACCCGCCGCGGTTTTCTTCTACTGTCGCGTTCACTGCTCATTGCGTCTGCTGGATATCCGACCCCAACTCCACCCTCCGTTCACCGTGTCCAAAGCATGATTCTATACTGCCGAGCCGCGACTGCACGACAACCTTTACAACGGCCAAATGGCTGACAAACCGTTCGAAGATTTGAATTACGGCTACCCTGGCACTGCTCGCTATGATCTAGAGAACAGCGAGTGGCTGTTTGAAAGACAGTATACAACCAAGAATTTCAGGCAAATTCGGACCTTAGAAGGCCTGCGACTTGCAGATACTCTTGCGACAACACCAGTTCAGCTTGTTCATCCTCAGACGTCTGCGAATAAGACAAGCACGCGGGAAGAAGTCAGAAACCTAGTACAGAACATACCCGAATTTGCGGCTGCAGCTGCGCTACTTCCTGACTTAGGTCTTGTCTCTGCCGCGATCTCAAAAACAACTTCCGTTTACGACCCTCTCGTTGGTAGTTTACTGTCCTTCGGTTCCATTACTCTCGGAGACAGATATGAAGGCCCACGCCAGGTCGCTGCGCTACCTGTGGGAGAAGCTGAGAATATACTGCAGTTGGTGGTGTTGAACAAAGAAAGGCTGGGATGGGGTATGATCAGAAAAACATGGATAGATGGGTCAACTCTGAAGGAGGCTGAGAGAGGACACTGGAACGAGGACGCTGCACCTATACAGCAGATCTGCTTCTCTCAATCCGAGGACCGGAGCTCTCTGCTTGCCGTGCGACTTCCCGCACGCACAGTTTTCTTCCACCCCATCTGCTTCCGCCAAGCTCGCGCAAATAAATCTTCGCCTTTCTACGATCTCCCCGCATCGACGATCGATCCGCACCCTATCTTCAGCATAGACAAGGAAATCACTGGCGGATTTACCCATTGTCATGTAGCGTTCAATCCGAGCTTCCAGTCACAATTCGCTATTGTTGATCAGAGCCCAATGTGGAGCGTGTGGGAGATTGATCGTTCGCGCAAGAGTGAAGAATACACCCCTTCATGTCTTGTTCGCGGGTGGATCACCAGTTCGGAAACTGAGGATGTGCGTGGCGAAGATGGATGGGCGAGAGTGCTCTGGGTGGCCGACGTTAATACTTTGCTGGTCTGCAACAGACGCCATTTGAGCATTGTCAGTATTAAGGGAGGGGAACTGAAGTACCTAGCCTGCCCGACATTCCTCAATCAGCGATCCGCAGAGTGGTTCTTGGACGTCAAGCTTCATCCAAAACATGCGAACCAAGCCTTCATTTTGACCTCTACCCACCTCATTCTGGTGCTAGTCAACAGTTCTGCTGAAGGAAATGCTTCGGCCGAAGATTCAGTGACGACAGTACTGGCATCATGGGCACACTTTCGGGATGCAGAAGATTTTACTCTTCAGATGACTGTACAAATGGCGTCAGAAGATGGTAAGTTATAAACTGATCAGTTCATGACAAGGCTTGCTAACATGAAAAGAATCGTGCCTCGTGCTTTATTCGCAACTGAACAATCTCATTCAGGTGTACACCTTTGCGGAGCACCCTGCAGGCGGTTCCTCTATAGTGGCGTGTTCTGATCCTGGTATACTGGATTTGGCCATCGACGGGTCAGGCCGGATTGCCAATTTATACATGGAGCCTATGCAACAGGGGGGCATCAGAATGGACACAGATTTCTTTCGGTTGTTTGTGGTACTGTCTACCTCCAGTATCCATGAGCTCGTCATTTATACTGCGAAGTCGTCGACTCAAGAATCGTTCACTACCAATGAGGTCGTCGAAGACTTCACACGCAGTATGATAAGACGCCCTCGAGTCGGCATTTCCAAGACGGAAGTGGTGAATAAGGAGGACGAGATAATAGTTACAGATGGTCTAGATGTTCTAGACTCACCCAGCTCCAAGACTACATCAAGGATTTTGAAACCAGAGCAGGTTTTGGAGGACGCTCCCGTGCAGACCACACGTAACAACGAACTCCTATACGAAGCCCTTCAGTACGCAGAAATTCCTGGAAGCAACGTACAAGGTTCTTTGGATATCACAGCGGTTCTGGGCGAGGTGAAGCAAATGCTCGCCGACGATCCTGACTCTGTGCCGTTGCCAATCGGTACGTTGATGGAGTACGCCAATACAAAGCTCCAAATTCCGGATGTGGACGATGCATCGTCGAATCTCCAAGATTTATTAGCCGAAAACGAAGAAAACGCCCTATTTCTTGAACGAATCGCGTCGGCGCAGACACTTGGCTTGGCTGAGGAGGACAACAATCCTACCATCTCAGATATTTATGATACCCTGTTGGAAACTTGGGTCGCACCTCTGCCACCTACGGTACCCAGCCGTGTCCGACAATCCAAAGAGCAGCTTGCCCGGGGTATCGCCGCTCAAGTCATGTTCTCCAGCCTGCGTGTACGAGAGCATGAGCTAGATGCTGCGACCACTGGCTCACATCTGGGCCCAAGCCAGGATCGGGGTATTGCATTACCCATTTTGCCTTCGCGACCGAGGAACGGCGATTTCCATTTTCCATCGCAATTCTCCATCTCTCAACAACTTCCAACACCTCCACAGTCTTCTGTGCCTACATCGTCTTTGCCAGGCTCATCACCGCCTGTCTTGCCTTTCACGCAGAGTGTTCCACAAGATCCTTTGGCGCGACTAAGCAAGCATCTGCGCAACAGAAACCCTTCCAAGGAGCCAGTGGGTATTGGTGCAAATGCATCTCGGATTCTCAGACAATGGCAAGTTGGAGATGATCCAAACAGTTACGATTGGACTGCCATCGAGCGAGACCTTCAGCCCGAGGACATGGATGAGGAAAGCCAAAGGCAACGCGAGAAAGAGCGTAAAGCCAAGGAGCGCAGGGAAAGACGTCAGCAACGCGAAGATGAGTTGGCAAGAGTGAAGGCTACAAGCCAGCCTCTAATGTTTCCAAGAAGCTCTCCCGGGCCCATGTTGAGTGGCATGGTCAACAGCAGTCAAATACCGATACAGAGTCAGATACTAAGTCAAGAGCCAATCTCCAGCTCAGCATTCATAGCACCGCAGAGTCAAGTTGAGCCAGGCAAGTTTGGAGGAAGGTTGGATAAGAACAAAAAGAAGAAGAAGAAGAGACTGGGTGGCTTTTGAGTTGGATTTGCGCCGAGCATCTTTTGTATTCTGGTGCCGTAGCACGTAACTAGACTATCAGACCAAAATCACTAGCAATGTGTTACCTATACCACTGATCTATTCCAAGAATCTATTCATTTAGTACTACACTCTTCCTAAACTAGCTGTTGTATAACCCTAGGATGTAGTTGGTATACATATATCAGTAGCAAGGTAGGCATACTACTGTCGTTTTGTGATTACTCACTGTCACGATTTAAGCAACCCTGAATGACTTGCTCAATAATCTAAAGAATGCTTAACCGGATACCTATCAGCTGGGATGCAACTGGTTGGTAGTGTTTTTGCGGTATAGTAATCTCTTGAAACTGCATAAAACAGGGTTGCTGTATGAAGAGGGAGGCGAAAGGGTGGTAGGAAGTTAACTCGGATTATGAGAACGAGTCAAGCAACGGCCTATAGGAATAGAAGGCACGGCATGTTAATACTAGTCATACGCTTTAAGGCTTCTACATGTGTAGTATCACGGCAAAAGGAGCTGTTTGATACAAATGTTCAACGATTCTAAGTCATCGATCTATTGCAGCTTAGCTGGTTGAGGTTGTAAGCCCTAGAGCAACATACCATGGTCATATCCGATAGTATCCGATGTTCCGCTAGCCTACAAGAAGATGATGTGTGAATTTGATGATGTCATTGGATGCGGAAGGAAGGAAAGATGCTCCTCCTTTTCGTTCGACCGAGAAAGTGGGGTTGGAGGGGTAGCTTCCGCATCCATGCATTCAAGCTTATGCTCCGGCTACACTAATAAGTCCTTCTTCCACTTCTTCGATACTTCGCTACAATCTTGATCCAATCTAATACACCATTGTTGCATCTTAGCCGTTTTCAGAGCCAAAATATCGTTATCCAATTTCTACTCATTCCAAGATGTCAGGCTTTCCATCTCTCCAACCAGCCTTTACGGTCCGCGTCGAAATCGACGCGCCGATGCAGGTCGGTGGCCAGTCAGGGCCTCAATTGGCCATTGTTCCCATGACAAGTGGCACCGTGAAGAGTGAAGAGGGTTTCGAGCCTAAACTCGACGGAGTGCTACATGGCGTGGGATACGACTACATTCACAACGATGCCGATGGTGCAAACATGAGACTGGATGTGAGGAGTCAGGTCAAGTGCGTCTTGTAATATCACTTCTCAAAAAGAGGCAGTAGTTAACAAATCATGCGCAGGAATCATGATGGCACCGTTCTTGCAATGTACTACAAGGGAACCGTCAAGCTTACTCCAGGCGTTGGTGCTGTCTTGACTGGCGCTCCAGATGCAAAGACCACAGAGTATGGCGATTCATTTGTCAATTTTTCATTCGAGACCGGCAACCCCAAATATGCTGAGCTGCAAAACGGAACATATGTTGCTGCTGGCCATTTTGTCAAAGAGGCAGGGAACCCCGGAACTATCGTAGAGTACAAGGTTAGCAAGGTTGTGTATAAGGCGTGAAGCATCAAGCGCTGCTAAAGGACTTTAACTCTGCTCCTCAGAATAACGAATAGAAAACTACAGAAGTGCTATATCATTGCTTACGCCAAATTATATCTAGTGTAGTATACGTCAGTTACCGTATCCACCTTGGCACTGTTTTCAGTGTTGTCACTGCCGCTTTGTTGTTTCCTCGCTCCTTCCCCACTTTGGACTGGCACGCAAACACTCTTCACCTTCAGCTCAAACTGATATAATTTGACTTGATTCCGGAACTTGCTCGGAAGCATCTGACTTGAGCCTCTACACAAAAGCCTTTTGCAGCTGTTTTGAACTACCAAAATCGAGACCTGCCACTTACAGTACAGGTGAGTATACATGCATCGTCAGCCGCAGCTTGCTTGGATTAGTAGATGCTAACAAAAAGACCCACCAAGGATCTAGAATTCATATCCAATGAGTTCAGCTTTACCGCACAACAAGAAGCCTCGCAAGCAGTATGTCTTGGGTGACTTTGTCAAATATGCCACTGGCATATTTGCGGCTCACTTCGTCGCCATCTCCGACATGGGTATCTACGAGTTCGCAGAGAAGCAATACACGGACGAAAAGCAACAATTACAAACTTGTCATATGGTCCTTGTGGGACACTATGCTCGCAAGAGTGGTGGTCCTCCAGTCTGGGCACAAGCGACAGGTGACGGTATACGGTATCATAAAGGTACCGGCTTTTTAGTGGAGCCGCTCATTTTGGACATTCATTGCGGAAAAGTCTACTACGACCCTCCATTCAGCTACATTGGCGGTACGATCAAGAATAGTGATACTCCACGCGGTATGACGCAGGAACGAAAATTTCAGCGAGCAGTGGTTGAATCTGCCATTCACTTCGTCTTCCTCTTGAGCGGGAGATTGAACCAAACCTTAGATATCACAAACCTGGATTTGCTTGGTCATTTCAAGATTGCTCTCGTAAATCTTTTACAGAATCGGAAGGCTCACGAAGCGGCTGACCGTACTCCAACCAAAAGATCCCCAACACGCGTTGAAGAGACAGCCATCACTAAGAACGAAGCGCGTCCTTTCAAAGTTAGTGAGACGAATTATAGGAATCTTACATTTCAAATCATACGAAGGCCTCTGCCACCTATTATTGAGGCTTCACTAAACCGTAGAGTTATCGATTTAACGCGCGATGTTCCCGGATCTTCGCCTCAAGGTAGGCGAATTGAAGCGTGCTTCTGATTGACTAGTAGCTGACATTATGATGTAGCATTCAATGAGCGTGTACTTCTCGAGCAACAAGTGCGAGATCTCAAAGCGAAACTCGAAGAAGAAAAGACGAAGACAAATGCACTTGAAGCGAGGCTAGTTCGAGAGAAAGCCAGACGGCAGAGATTACGAGATCAGCGCGGAAGATGGACTATACAGAGACAAGCCTTGAAGGCGAAGGTTTCTGCAAAAAGACAGCGATTAGCACAGTACGAAGCGACCGCACTGGAGCATCGGCTTCAAATTGCAGCGATGAAGGAAGAGCTTGCGCGTGAGAAGGAAGAGCTTGGGTGTGAGAAGAAAGCGAGGATGTTCTGGGAGCACAAGCACAACAGCTTGCCAAGAATGCTGCTTGACCGTAGCCGACTTTCGATTGCTTCAGGGTCTCCAAATGATCAGGAGTCAAGTGTGGCGTTGGTCAGAACATCAGATGCAGGAGTACGCAGTGGCCCATTCGGTTCCGGCCGTTCTCGACCGTTGTGAATACAACTTCTCAGGCTCCGAGGAACTGACAGCTATGTAATTACGTTGTACATGTGTACAGTAGCATTGTATGTTCAAGCTAGGAGTTTGCATATACACAGATGGGTAGTGATGTACTAGCAGGATGCCTTGTCTAAACAGTAGTATAACATCACATGGGCATGAATCTCTCCCAGATTGAAATGCACATAGGCAACCGAACCGCCTCTTATATCAGAAATGATACGTCAAAAGAGTCCAAGCTACACATGCACACGTTCTCCTACTAAACTAACGGCTACCGAACCCGAGCCACACACACACACACACTCACCCTCCCCCTCTCTCTCTTACAACCCATCTCCTCGGCCTCTCTAGTCTCTCTTTTCTTTTTTCCGCCCAAGTCCCTAACATTCTCTTTTCGAAAAGATCCGCGCTGAACCCAAACACACGTCACTTTTTCCGAGATTTCCAAGTTTAGTCGCAAATGTGGCTTTCCCACATCCACTCACACACACACATACCCACACACCGTTCGGCCAAGTTCGCGCTTCTTCTTTCTTTTTTTGCTTTTTTTCTATGCTTAGGCTACAACAAGCCCCGAACTATACGCAGGTGTGATAGATCGTCGCTTACGGCGTGTATCCGTACAACTTATGCAGGTGTGTTCCAAAACGTCAGCCACCATCGAGAGAGAGAGAGGAGCCAGATGCGAGATGGAGTGGCGGGAACGCCGCCCATCTTGCCGCATTGCGATGCTGATTGGGGAAGCTATGGTTGGAATGACGCATAAAATGTGAGCTAGTATTGTGGAAGTGGGTGGGTGAGAAAGCAGCGAACGCCATGGTGCCTGTACTTATGCTTAGGTTGTACTACTTTTACATGGAAACGTTTGCTTTTCAGGTACCCACGCATGCGAGAAAAAAAAAAGGAAAGGCACTTAGTCAGGACATCGGTGCCCTTCCCCGACGCTTTGAGAATCTCCCCAATCGTCGTCTATCAGCAAAACATCCCGAGTTTAACATATCTGTTTGCTCATTTTTTGCAAATCATACGAGATGGGGGGGATGTCATTATCGAGATTGAGAATACATCAGTCAGTCAATCAATCCCGCGCGCACCAACCAACCCCCACACCCCCTGAACCGGTGGCTTCCGACATCGTGAGTACCTCAACGTTTTCTGGTACCCCTTACCCGCCTGCCAGGCGGCCGACCCCTCCCGCTCCCATTCGTGTCCGTGAGGAGAGGTTTTAGCAGCGGCCGTTAGTCGGGCGGCGGCTCTCTGCTAGCTACTATTTTAGTGTGGGAGGAAATGGTCTCATAAACTTTGTTTTTTCTTGGGGACCGCAGCGCTACTAGTCGCGGACACAAGCGGGGGGTGAGCAAAAGCAAATCAGGGCTGCACAAGGGGGCTTATTAACCAAACTTGGTAGCGATTGCAGTAGTCGTGGGCCTGATGATCTCTAAGCCTTTGAGTTGCGTATGCATTATCGATGCATTGGTGAGACCGTGTTGGAGAAGGCGATGAGTATGGAGGGCTGATTGGTAGATTGGGACTATCGTGCTTGACGCGTGGGTAACCAATTAGATTGCTTGCGTCCATCTCCGTGGAGAACGGGAGAAACAGCACAGGTGTGACTAGATACGATTGCAGCAAATCGAGGATCGTATACACGCTGTACAACGTAATGCCGATACATCAGTGTGCATCAATGCCAAGTGGAATGGTTGAGGCCGGGGTATTCTTAGTCGTATTATACATTGTTGCAGCCAGGGGCTGATGGGCGAATTAAGACTCAAACCCGAAAACTTTATAATTATAAGCGCGATGAAAGTAGTATAAGTCGTACAGATGGTGAGACAGCCTCGTCGTCATTCAAGGTCGTAATGCGCACTATGCGAGTGTAGATATGCACAAGCAACAAAAGAAAAAGGGTCGCTAAATCGAATCGTGCGGGAGAAGAATGCTAATGACGCCAGTGGGCGTAAAGTGGATGTAGTATTGATGGTCGCAATCCAGAGTATGTGTTGTCGAGTATGTCGGGGGCGCAGTGACTTGTTGCGAGCGATCGTCGAAAAAGATAAACGCAACTTCCACATGTCTGATCGAACGATGCTGAACAAGCATAGGGACCAATAGGATCACATGATACCCCTCAATCCGCGAAAGCCTCCAGTTTTGGCAGAAGAAGAAGAAGGCTTTCTCTGATCCTTGTCTTTGACCTTCTTCCCAATGTTCTGGGCGCCTCCTGCTTCTGAATCAGCTTGCTGTAGTGTTAAAAGAGGGTACAAATGACTAACCTCGACCATATACCCGAACCTCCGATTTGGCTTCGACCTTGTCTTTCTTATCCCTGCCTGAACTACCGTCTGTGTCGACAGAGAAGCTACTCTTCCCGCTCGAATGAGGCTGTTGAGATTGCAACTGACCACCGGGAGATGCATCTTGATTGCCAGCATAGTCCGGCCCATAGCCACCGCCGAAGCCGGGATAGGGCGATGGGGCTGTTTGGGAGGGCTGCGTCGTCCCAAAATTCGTAGATCCAAACCTAGCAGAATAATCAGGCATGGTGCCTGACACGGGACTTTGTGCCGACTCTGGAGAGAGATATTGAGGATAGTGTTCCTGTTCTTCGCTAGGCGCTCGGTCTGTTGAAAGAGGAGGCAAGTACCTTGAGTTGTAACTGTTTGCGTGTCGTACACTTGAATTTCGACTCATCTGTGATACCCCAAAGTCAATTTGACCAGATTTGTCTCGAGGGTACAGCTGTCCAATTGCAGCTTGCTGCTCGCCCTCGAGTTCGTGATATTTCATCTGCAACTCTGTGTATTGCTCCAGGAGGCGGTAGTGGGTCTTTTTCAATTGCCGGAGCTTGGCATCGCTCGCCGCCAGCGCCGAGTCGAGCATTTGTTGGACAGACGGGGGAAGCTGTCCTGGCTTTCCGGCGCTCTTGCCGGTCGTCTGTAGCCGTGCCTCCAAATCCATAATGCGGCGTTCGTAGGCCTTTATGGAGCGTTCGTGCTCTTGCTCGCGGCTATTCAGCCGCATGTTTGCGATTTCCAGGTCATTTCGCAAGTCGTTCCGCTCTTGCATGAAGATATGCAGCTCTTTCCTCTGGTCTTCAAAGGCAGCAATCTTCTCTTCTGCCATTTCCAATTCACGTCGAATATCGCTGTAGTCTTCAAGCTCGTATTCCAGCGCCTTTGTTCGTTGCTGGGCTTTGAGCTGCTCTGCCTCGGCTCTCTCCACGATCTTCTTCAGCTGCTCACAATCTGATTGCGTCTTTTGTAGCTCGTGCCGCAGACCACCCTCGTCATTGTGCCAGTTCTTTTCAATTTCCTTGTATGATCGCACCTTTGCATTGAGCTCGCCTTCCCATTTCTTTGACTGGCTTCTGCTCGTCAGTGTCTCTTTCTTCAGCTGAGCATATAACTCATTTGCCTTGGCAAGCCGGGCCTTCAAAGTTTTGTTAGTGTTGATCAGATTTTGAGTCTCAGCCTCTGCAGTGGCTTCTTTGATGTGCTTGCGTTGGAGCTGACCAATATGCACAAGATGTTGCAACTTGAGATAGCGCTCAAAGTTGAGGTCATTGCGAAGCAGCATGATCTCTCTTTGCAGAGAGGCCATGGTGTGATTCTGAAACTCGTTCTGACTGAGGTTGTTTTGCCCGGATACTGACTGTATGAAACTATCCAGGTTGGACTGTTCAGCTACCAAGCGATGAGCGGCAGCTGTAGACAGGCTGTGCAAGTCGGTTTTAGGGGCTTCTCTCGCAGGTGGCAGCGTGGGGGAATCCGTCATGTCGCGGCCTTTTAGCAGGGGAGATGCCATGGATTTGATAGATACTGCTGACTTGACTGACTTGCACCGTGGTGGAATTTCAAAGTTATCAGGGATGTCTGGAATGTCGCCCGGAGGGATGTTCATTGTCGACTGTGTGTTGCGTCTGCTCTCGTCTGAGCCGTGAACTGTTGCTCCGTCTTGATCATCTAGAGTGAAGTGTGAAGGGATATCTGGCACGGGTGGTAATGCTGCGCTGGGTGGCGGACCAGGGTCTTTCAACGTTGACGATACGGCCACACACAAACCCATGCACTCGATAACAACATCTGCAGGATCGCTCTTCAACCATTTGTTTTCGCTAAGCTCATCTTCGGCCGTCGTGGTGAACATGTTGGGGTGCAACAAATGGACTTGGCGATAGGGTTCGGTGCGGGTGTGAATGAGATCTTGGTCCAAGTCGAAGTCGTGCGCGCCGGGGAAGTTGAGCGACTTGAGGTACTTCCTGGGCTTTCGAATAAAGCTCATGAAGTTGAGTGGGAATAAACCATAGAGGAATGTGAAGTAATGCATAAGCGTGGGCGGCGGCGATTCCGGATAATCGACGGATGGCTGCAGTTGCTCCCAAACTTGCTCCGAATCGTCGTGCTCCTCCTCCTCGTCGTCTTCGCTGTCGTCATAGTAAGCATCCAAGTCAGCTGCCTTGTCATTTTCGCTACTCCCTAGCTTGTCCCAACACAATATCCTACAGTAAACAAGGAACAGCTTGACTAGGTGGTGATCCGAAGTCAAGGCTCCGCAGATATGGGGCAAGAACATGATGAGAACGACAAGGGCAAGCTCTACGACAGTGGATGAGTTGTCGGCAAGCAGGCATTTTTCCAGGTGCTGGATGAGCGGAGTTTCGAGAACCAGATGTAGGTGGGGTGGTTGAAGGCGGACGAAGGCGCTGAGGAGATTGAGAGCCTGGACACGGTGTTGCTTGTGCACAAAGAGTTCGTCAAGTCTGAGGAGAAAGATCTACACAAGTCAGCGTGAATTGTGCCTCCAGGCGTATTATGCCTACCTTTGGCATCTTGCGCCCAAAAGCCACTAGTATATTTTCCAACTCATGCGCGACGAAGCCGTTTTCCGGCGAGACAGGCTCGTCGGGCGAAGAGGGAACCGCGGACCTCGCTAGGTAAATGTTGAGTATTCTGGTGATAAAGAGATCAGACAGGCGCGCCTGCTCTCCGTCC